AAGTCTCTCCAAGCCGAACATCGCCTCAAATCATTCATGTAGCTCGAGCTTCTTTTTTGGGGAAGCTGCCTTGGAAACGTATGAAACTAAGATATGCTAGTATAATGATTGCATTTTATTCGAAAAGTCGTAGGATGAGAAGGGACAAATGCTAAATTGAAACCTCTGGCGAACACCTTGATGAAATTTGACCAACTATATTCGAAGATTTGAAGTGAAATATTGCTTTATTCGAGAATGATTACCAGAAATGCACTTTTCCTATCATTTTTTAGCAAACCCAGTTTATTTAATATTTTTCATGAAAAAAACTGAAGGAATGAAATTAAATTTCGTTGTGATGGTGGCTAGTGGCGTAGTGTTCATGAATAACTTGACGTTGCTTGCCAAGTAATGGCATACCGAATGTCAGCAAGGTGGAACCTTGGATGTTATTGATGCTTTAATGAACAGTACAATTTCAGGAAAATGGAGGAAGGTCAAGTTCCAGAACCAGTACAAAGCGGAGCGTTTCATCGTCTCCAGGTGAGTGGTTTTTTCACATATTTTATTCATCTGATATTAGCAAAGTAGCTTATCGCTAGTTTCTGGGAGCAGAGTTCTCTATTCAAACGTTCAATTGATCAGCTTTAATGAACTCTGTTTTCGTACTTCTTTCGTGTTTATACCGCTTTTTTTCAGAGCCACCGTCCAGAGTTCACGACGACGAGCAACGATCTTCTAAGAAGCGTAAGGTTGGTAACTTATTGTCATTGTGGAGCGGGTGCAACTACGATCCTCGAGCAAACTTCCTCTGTAACAAGTTTCAGATATTTTTCTTGCTGGAGAACATATGCTCCTTGGAAGTAGTTCGAGTTGCTTTTGGTGCCTAAATACAATTTCGGCCTTACTTTATGCAAATTGAGCCAGTTTTTCATGAAATTTTGTGTTAAGCCGATTAGTGTGTGCGTTTGTCGTCTATGAAGATGGCCCAAGTACCGCTTGAGCTGTGTTCTTCAAACCGCATTAGTTTCCACTGGCATGTCACATAACCAGAAGGCATGAGCCGTGTTCTGGGGAGGCTTCGTTCAGACTTTGTGATGACGCACGTCTAAGCGACACACCGCGCTATTGCAATACTCAGTGCTACGGACAGAAACGCAGACATAGCGAGGTATTGATCGGCCGCGACCGTTACTGATTCGAAAGAGTATAGGAGAATAGGGAGGTAGGCGTTGTCTAATCACACCATTTCCAATCCTTCCGTATTCCCCCAAAATACTAGCAGTCGGCGCCGAAACGATGTCCACATATGATTGCTTTTCCATTTATATCTAAGACGCTTTTACGGCTGCGTTCACCAGCTGCCCGCTGCGTTCAGGAGAAGAGTATTGGCAAGTAGAAGGGTAAGGACTGCGGGTAGGGATGAGGAAGCAGGACAACACGAAGGAGGGTCTTCGGGTAACTGCTAAAACACAGAATCATCTGCTCAAAGTTATTTATTTACTGCAGTGAATATCGTATATTGTCTATCCAATTCAGCGCTCAATGATTTTTTTTAGGAAAAGTCAGCGTCGACCAAGTCAACATCGACCAATATCAAAGGATGGACTTACGAGCAAATTTTCAAGCATTTCAATCTGAGAGAGTTTACGATTGACATTTCGGATTTCCCTCATCATGAACTTCAGGCGTCAACGAGTTCTCAAGGTATATTCGCTGTCCATCCTTTTAAGGTTGCTGTCATGATATTGCTAAGTTTTTTTTAAGAAGCTGTAGTGCCTCCGAAAGAGGAAACTGACGAAGTGGAGAATGCAAAGGAGAAAGAAGAACCTGAAGAAGAAGTAACAAAAGAGAAAGAAAAAGAAAATATTGAAATGGAGACTGAAGACCATAAAAGCAGGAAACGAAAACGTTCCGTTTCGTCGTCTTCATCGTGCTCATGCGCTTCATCTGCTGGAGGGGACAAGGACAATCACTCGTAAGCAATGTCATCGTGATTGAGAGGGTTTTCGGCTCCTTTAACCGCGGGTCATGTAAAGAGCCTTATTATTAGGTTGTTCGAAAAGTAATGCGACACTTTGACCAAATTTTTCGGACTAAATTTTCCGTCACTAAAAGACATCTCCAATCTACAAGGTAACCGCAGTTGATGACTAGGACTAGTGCCCTTCTTTTGCACAGCTTCTCAT